TCCGCAATTTAGCAACTTCTCCACCAAACTTTCACGTGCCCGTACCTGAGAATCAAGCGTGGCTAGGAACTGATTTTGAAATCTTTTAGTTGGGAGCATTCCCCCAAAAATTTCAGCTTCTCAGCTTTCTTGGTCACTGGGTTGAAAGTGGATGACGCAGTTCACTCGATTCTGAACACATACAAACACATACACATACCCATACAAATACACGGACAACCTACCAATAATATAAATTTTTGCTCACTTCAGCAGCATCATAGCAAAGCACAGCAAAAACGCACAAAAACTTACCAAAGCATGGTCACCCAAACTCATCCTGAAAACTTCCACTTCCAAAACTTCTTTCAGCGCCTAAAAAAACATGATCCGTTAGATCCACTTATAATGTATGCGATTTTATCAAAGTCAAATTAAGGTAAATGCTTCGCAGACAAAAGAGCTTTATGATGTTTTTCTCAGCCAACTAAAAAAAATTTAGGATATGATTTCTTGCGGCAAGAAGATCTGGTTCACTTATTCGATGAGAACAAATGAGCAGAGCTGAACAATCAACCGTACAGCACTGGGAAAGCCCTCACAGAGACCGAATGATCAACTTGAACGCCTTTATGAAGTAACGGAGAGCATAGAATTTAGCAAAATAAAAAAGTATGGATTTGCTGTAACGATAATGAGAAGGAACACAAGACTGAGGCATCTGATAAAGCATCAAGGCAGTAATAATAATGAAAATAATAACAATAACAGTAATGATAATAATAATAATAGTAATAATAATAACAACAATAATAATAATAATAATGGCAACAACAATAACAATAACAACAGCAATAATAATTATAATAGTGCTAAGTAATGACAAAGATAATAATTAAACAGTTACAAATAATGATGATAAATAACAATAGCAATAATAATAATGAATAACAATGACTAATAAATTTCATCATCAGCTTATTTATTTACGGATTTGCCACATTCTTCGAATCTCACAGAATTCCCTTAGCACTTAATAGCGGGATGGAGGCACAGGAAATACATCTTACATATTTAATTGGTATTTTGAGAAGCAGTCTGCTTATCCAGTCGTAAAAATCTGATGCAACAGTCACAAAAAGTGATATTCGTAGGCCAAGTTATAACACTTTTCTGATTTGCTGCCTAGCTTTTTCAGGCAAAGGGTGTTAATACAAAAATGTTTCCCATGTCCGGTGGGTTAAAAAAACCCATACATCTAAGACATACGAGCTGAAATGCAATCCCCGCTCGTCCAGACAAGATTTTAGTGAAAGAGATGTTTCTTGTTCAACACAGGAACAAAAAAAAGTGATACATTTTCCGAAGCTTCATTTCCTAAAAAAATTGATAAGTGGGCGTATTCGGATGATACTGGAGGATTCGGAACAGAAATCCAGACGGTCTGGTGAGAGATATTTTAACCGAATTCCGATTAAGCGAAAAAATCGAAAAAAATCTGAACAAACCTGCGTAGTCTCCTTGCTTATTTCAGGATGCACCAAAGCCACATGATCATTACAAGCAATAACATTTCCAAGAGCGGATAATTTCTCATCCACCCGTCGAATTTTCACATTGTCTGGTAAGCTGTAAATAAAAAATATTTCCCCGATTTTCAAAAAAAAGAAAAGACCATCAAAGTTATAAGAGACCTGTTCCGGATATGCTGTAATTCTTGATCAGTGGTTGCATTCGGTACCAACAGTCCTTTCCGGTTGCCAGCGGTTACGCGTCCAACAATTCGAGTCCCAGCAATGGAGCAATGAATCACCGGGATTACATCGGCCAATTCGCTTTCAACCACACTGAAAATGAGCGCAAAAATACCAAAAAGAGTACAAATTCGACCGGAAACTTCAAAATTTCATAGTCCAAGTAGAATTCACATATCACTCTCTTGGTTTTGAAAGAATGTACATTCAGGAAAAGCGGTAAAGTTCGTTAATTATGGTGATTGATCGCAGTGCATGTTTACAACACAACGACAAATATCGATCATTTCATAGCTTTTGTAGCCGAAACTCATTTAGCTAATGCTAACCTCATTTTTCAACTTTCTTTTTTCATTCCTGAGGAAAAAAAAGTTTGATAAATTTTGTGCCGTGCGGAAGGCAGCCTGAACCGGACGAGTCTCTATGGATGGAGTGGGCAGGGGAGGGGTTGGTGACCACTCACCCAAACCAACAATGTTTTATTTAAAAAAAACCAAGCTTGCCGGTATGATCATGCATTTTTGCACTAAACTCGCGGGTCGCTAATAGCAGGAATAAGCCCTGCACTGCAGCCAAACGTTAACGGCACTGGTTTTTCCAGCAGATGCTTCTAGCTAAAAGAATTTCAGACTGCCCGCCAGGGCTGTCAGGAAACATTCCTTCAAAATTCCAGTCTTCTAGCTTCTCAGGTTCCCGAGTTAGCAACTTACCCGAAAGAAACTTTCACGAGCCCGTACGGTAGGTCCCATGCTTATCCGGGGACTGGGTTTGAACAAATTGATACCTACTTGAAGGAGGGACATCCCCTCAAGGTTTCAGCCTTTTTCTACCTTCTCAGATTCCCGAGTTAATCAACTCACCCTAAAAAAATTTCACGGGCCCGTACATGCATGTAGATTAAGTTCCCAAAGTTTCAGCCCTGTACCTTTTATAGGTCTTGAGATGAAAAATCGGTACAGACACACATACAGATATACAGACAATCCCTCGTCAGTATGCGTTTTCTGCATTGCATAGCTGCAAAAAATGCATAAAAACGGGAGAGTCGCATAGGATGTGGGCGCATACTCCTGAAGTTTCAGCTTTTTAGCTTTTATGGGTCTGGAGTTGAAAATGGGTGATAAAAAGTGCGAACATACACACCCACACGCATACACACTCACACACACATTCACACACACACTCACACACACACACAC